TTTTCGAGAAATCCCATGGGTGGTGCACGTCAATAGATGGGCTTATTACTGTAGATTCTGAATTAAGTAATAATATGATATTTTGTATCAAAATTCTTTTTGTTATTTGTTTTGTAGTTTGGATTATATTAAACTGTAAAATTAAGATTGCTGAATTAAGAGAAAAGAGCCAAATATCAAGGGCCATTCTCAATTTAAGGATTACTATTTTGCAATCTAGTACAATATAACTCTAAAACAATACTTATTCATTAATAAATCTAACTCTTAATAATAATATAGTTTATATAATTTTTCAAATATTATTATATAATAATTTAAAAAAAATTATTTTAGATTTTAAATTGTATCAAATTACAAAACAATAACTCTTAAATTAAGAAGGTCCCTGATATTAAATCCTTTTCTTCCGATTTAAAGACCCTAATTCTATAGTTTAATATAGTACAATAAACAACCCAAACATTTTTTATAGAAAATGATCTTATTATTACACAGGCACCGCCCACCGTATTTCTCTAAAATTATCATCACCAGTGGCAGGGACCCAAGACAGTGTTTTATCTTAATATAATATATTATGAGATGCAACATGCATTCGGATTCTCATCACTGAAGAGCTGCGGCGCCGGTGGCATTCGCTCGATCACGTAAAGTGGCTGGTAATAGTAAATCATCCTCTTCATAACTTCCTCCTCAATGTTAATGTTTTCTTCCCCTTCCTTCTTCCCCTCTTCCTTTTCTTCTTTCTTCTCTTCCCCGTCCTTTTCACCTTCTTCTTTCTTGGCTTCCTCCTTGGGCTTTTCCTCTTCCTTTTTCTCCGTGTTTTCTTCCTTCTTCTCTTCTGGTTTTGCTTCTTCTGCAGGTTTGTCCGGTGCCTTGGTCTCTTCCTTCTTCTCAGGTTGAGGTTCGGGTTGAGGCACGATTCGGGCCTTTTTTTTTGTGCGTCTGTACACGTATTCAACCAGCTCGTTGGCGTCCATGGTGCCTGTCACCATGACTTTTCCGGTGCCATACTCTGTCACGACGGTTTGCACTCCTGCAATTAAAACATACCAAAAAGATTTATTAATTGAAACCCCCATGGTTAAGCACTAATTACTAAAAGCATCCTCAATCCCATATCTGCCAAAACCATACCCAATCAGAGTGATTGGTTGCCACATGGTTGGCAAGTCAGACTCTCTTGCCGGTTAATGTAGCCATGTGGCAGTCTGATCTGCGGGAATGATTTTGGCGATTAAAGAACAACCATTCACACGTAGCTGGACTGTAAAATACAAATCATCGAAATAAAAATAGCCATCCCATTTAATGATTTACGATTGTGCCGTTGCTACTACACAAACACTTTGTTATACATATTTCATAGGATTTCTTCTATTTTTACCTCTCATTTTTCGTATCTTCTTCTTGAGTTGGTCGGCACAGGCCTCGCAGTGCATATCAACATTGAGCTCCACGGTTGTTAACCCGCTAACCTGAATTATCAACAAGAAAACACCAAATCATCACATGAACATATAAATTCTTGTGGGGAAATGGAGTAATTCCTTTGTCCTTTATATTTTTGGATTTCTTTTTCACCTGAGAATTAACGACTTCTGGCATAGGATCACCCTCAGCTGCAGGCAATGGGGACAAAACTTTAGCTCTTCTTTTGGTTTTCTTCATAATGTTGTTGCATACTGCTTGAGGCTCAACTACTCCCTTGATATTCACTTGATTTTGAGACATATCTATCACAACTCCTTCTACTCCTGTTGTCAAAAACCAACCAAATTTCGTCACAAAAGATTGAAAATGTATACAACTTCAGAAAAACAGAGAAGGGGCAGAGAGAAAGAAACAAAGACCTCGAATCTTCATAATGGACTTCTCAATCTTCTTAGCGCATCCCACACAATGCAAGTCCACAAACAACACAACAGGAGATGGAGGCTTTGGTGGCTCCTCCTTTTTTTCTTCCTCCTTTTTTTCTTCCTCCGCCTTCTCTTCCTTCTTCTCTTCTGGCTTGGGCGCCTCTGCCTTGGCTTGCTCCTACCCAAAATCACCACACATGCCAAAATCAATCAGCCCAAAAGTGCAAAAACCCACTAACAACTTTTAACAAACACATGGTAGACAACCCTAAACATGAAAAATCCCCACTGCGAACATATCACAAGCACATTGTAAACAAAAACCAAACGGGCAAAAATCAAAATCCACACCTGCTTTGCTTCCTCAACCATTTCCGCTACGACTATAACTCAACAAAAAAATGTCACCGGAGCTGTAGAATTCCGAATTCCGAATTCCGAATTCCTATCACCAAAAAGAAGCAGAGTGTAGGTTTTATATGTGTAAGATGCCATAGGGGGATGGGGTTAACAGCAGATAAAGGGGAACAGTGTGATTCCACAGCACATGCAATGCACAAAGAACCCACTTAATTTAATATTTCTTTTTGGAGGGGGGGAAACCAGTGGAGCAGGGTTTGCAGATTTATAGAGGATCTCTGAAAAAATGGGGGATCCGAATTTTGACAGGGATAATACTTCCATCAGCCACCCACACCGCCGTGGATTTTGTCATTGGTAAAAGAGGCTGATGTGTCGGATAGCCTGAAATCTCCCTTGGCATTTAGTTTGTTTACTTGGATGTCAAAGAAAGAAAGAAAGAAAAAGAAAAGAAAAGAAAAGAAAAGAAAAATCATTTACGGATAGACTTGGGTAAACATGTCGGATTGTGTGGGTTTGGATTGGGTAATTTTGGATTTTGGATTGTTTGGATTTGGTTATTTTGGTGTTGAGTTAAGAAAAATGACTTATAATTCATCCACATAAATTTCGGATTAAGTCGGATGGACTTAATTTTTTAAAAGTTAAAATTAAAATTAAATTTTTTTTATATTTTTCTCTATTTTTCTTTAACGAAACTTAATACTAAATAACTATTTAGTTAAAAAAACTTCATTATTAATTAACTATTTAGTTAGAAAACTTTATTAAACATTAATTTCTATTTCATAATTCAATTTTTTTCCAATCTCAAGAAAATAAAAGGAAAATATTAGTGATTATATAGGTGGAAATAAAATATATGTCAAATATATAATATCTATACAATATTTATAATTTATAATTTCATAAAGGTATTAACCTTCATTAAAAGAAAAGTCATGAAGGATTAGAGTTCAAAAGACAAATCTAATATATATTAATATCTAGTGCTTATTTAATATTTATAAGAATATTATATAAAAAATACAGTTCTATTCAATATTTATGAGGGTATTATATAAAAAATATAGCCCTATTTAATATTAAAGTTTAAAGGGCAAATCCAAAATATATCTAATCAAATACAAGAAAAAATTGGATCGGAATTGATTTTTATTAATTATGAAGAAATTATTAATTAAGAACAAATTAGCAATTAAGAACGGACCTTGATATTCTTGATATTCTTGTCTTTATACTTTTAATGGTTATAAATTACCTCAATCACTGAGTTTTAATTTTTAATAAGCATTCTTGCTTTTTATTTTTTTTTAAAATGATCTTTTTTACGATTTCATATAACATAACTCACTATGTGCCACCTAATTTAATTTTTAACACAAGTGCCACTAAAGAGAAGGATTAGAGAGCTTGAGATGAAGAAGGGGAGAGCGAGAGTGGAGAAGAGGAAAAGTTGAGAGAAAGTGAAATTGATGAGAGGAAGTGAAATTGGTGAGAGATTAGGATTTGAGTATTTTATTTATTTTTATTTTTAGGATTAGAAAATTAGAAATTTAACATTATTTTTTAAGTAATCTAATAAAAATAAATAAAAAAAAGTTCAAGTTATTTCGAGTGACCTGACCCACCCGTGACCCAACCCATATGGGTTCAAATAATTTCAGTTCAGGTTATTTCGAATTTTGGATTAACACGTAGGACTCATAACCCTAATCATAACGGATAAATTGGATTGAATTTTCAAATTGCGTCGAATTTTTGGATTGAGTCCAATTTTGGCAAGTGTATTTAGGAACAATTTTTAATATTATTTTTTATATAATTTTATATGTCATTTTTTTATTTGGAGGTTTATCTAATCTATGCCTTAAGGCATAAATTAAGAATGTAATAAATACATTTTTTAAATAAATTTATGTTAAAAAAATAAAAATTAACCTTTATTTTTTAACTGTCCAATTAAATTCATCCATTTAGCACCGAAATTAAAATTAATATCAAATTTTACTTTTTTTATATACATCTATGATAAAAAAATATCCTTAATCTATACCTCAAGGGCACATCTTAAAAAAAATCATTTATTCATTTGAGACTTGTGATATTAAATGTATTTACTCATTTAATGACATATTAAAATTATATAAAAATAGTACAAAAAAAATAAAAAGAAAGAAAAGAAAAATAAAACGAGGCCTCAAGTAATATAAGGACAACTTTTTTCTTTTCTTTTTCTTTTTTTGGTGATATATGTATACCATTTTTGTATTATTTTTCTATACAACTTATACATGTTATTAAATAAATAAATGTATTTAATATCATAGGTTTTAAATAAATAAAGGGTTTTTTTAACTTGTGCCCTTAAGGCACAAGTTAAGAGTATTTTTTTAATTATAAATGTATATAAAAAATGTAAAAATTGATATTAATTTTAATATTGATGTTAAATGGATAAATTTAATTGGACGTTTAAAAAATAAAGGTTAACTTTTATTTTTTTAACACAAATTTATTTTAAAAAATTCATTTATTGCATTCTTAATTTATGCCCTTAGGGTATAGATTAAGCAAACTCATGAATAAAAAGAACCAATTATTTATATGATATGTAAAGTTGTACAAAAAATAATATAAAAAATTACTCCTAAATGATTTTTTTTTTCTTTTTTTTCTTTTTTTGCATCTAGGTGGACAAACCAAATGCCAAATCCCTTGCCACATAGGCATGAGGTGACCATATTTCAGATAGTGCTATAGGGATAACCTTTTTATACCACCTTTTATACAATTTTCACATGTTATTAAATGAATTGATGCATTTAATATCACAGATCCTATATGAATTAAAAAAACTAATTATTTAAATGACATGTCAAATTGTACCAAAAAAGTGATATAAAAATGTTGTCCCAAAATCAATTTCCCATCATATTTCACCACACAAGGCAATCCTCGAATGGCAATTAACGGTAGTTAGGTTGGCTCTGAGAGCAAGGGCTAAATTGCTTCGATTGTAGAGTTTAGGAGCTTATATGGATCAATTAAAGTCTGGGAACTTAATAGCAATTCTAGGGTTAGTTCAAGGGCTTAACTTAAGGTTTTGCCTTGATAAAATGACAAGATTATTTTTATTTTGTTATAATATTGATACAGGAACATACCAAACTAACCCTGAAAAATTCAAATAAAGAAAAAAATAAGGGAGGAAGTTTTCCCACTTAGCCAAACATGGCCTCAATGTAAAATGCAAATACTAGTGATAACACTGATCATCATGATAATTCTTCTTTTTACTTCTTATTTTTTATTTTTTT